TGGGTCTGGCAAGGGATTTTGAAATTTCAAAGCTCACTCCTGTTGACACATTTCCTCCAACAAGGCCACACCCACTCTAACAAAGCCATGCCTCCTAATCCTTCTAATCTTTTCCAACAGTTCCACTCCCTTGTGATTTAGCATCCAGATACATGAGCCTATGGGGGCCATTCCTATTCAAATCACCCCAATGGATTTAAAGTCCCCCTTTTTTTGTTATCTTGTTATATGGCCTTTACTTGGCCATAAATTGTGAGGCTTGCTTGTGTGCCTAGAAGAGGCAAGTGACCCAACAACAAGAAAGGGGAGAGATTTTAGCAAAGCCAAGACTCATTCCTACAGCAAATTTCTCCATCATATAACTGTTTGTGACTATGTTAAAGTGAGGTCATCCTGACACACATTTGTCACAAGTGAGTTGGAACAGATGTTTTGATTGAATAAACATCCTTCAGTAAACTCTTATCAGTCATGGTGCCTTTTGCCCATGTATGGATTGCATGAGATTCTAAGCAGGAGAAGCTTGCAGATGCTGGGGTTTAAGTTACACTTTCTACAGATGAGCACAAATGGTCAACTTGTGTATTTAATACTCATAGAACACAGAAACAAAATCTATGGGCAAAACTAATGGCTGAGCTGTCTGTGAATTTACATTTTTCTAATAGGAAGGAAGGAGAACATATGTACTATATTTGATAATTTTACATATTTTCAGTAAAATTATGAATTTTTCATGTTTTTAAAAGCATTCATATCTTTTCACAGGAAGCAAATGTCTCTATCTTCTATTTCTACTGATTATTATTTTTATTTTTCGTGAGATGGTCAGGATAGGAAAGTTACACAATGTTTTAAATTTAATTGATTTCATTTGTTTATAATTTATAAATAAAAATAATTTCTAACTAGTTTCATGTAAATGCTATGAGTTATTTTTAATGATAGTGTCTTTACATTTTGCACATTAATGCTTATCTTAATCCTTAGGAGGAGGCTTTCTGATTATTTTGCTACTTATCAAAGCTTAAGAGGAGATAATCACATGGCTGAGTATTCTATATTATTTCTTGAAGGGCATGAATTGCATGATGACACCAATATTGTCTACCATCAAAAAATTAAACTCAGAACACTATTTTTGTAACTTAATGAATTTTATTGTGCTTTTATGTCTGGCTTACTTGATTTTAGCTCAAAGACTGAGAAGCAAGTGTCTGTCTCTAGATAGCAAAATTGTTATGTTAACTTCAAATACATTACAATACACACTGATTCACCAGAAATGTATGTGAGAGGACACAATTGTGAATTATAATTTATTAATTACACACTTTTTAGGATATGATTGCCAGAACAAAAGTCATTCAACTAATACAACTTTATGTAATCTACTATAGGTAAATTGAGCATACTGAGTCCTTTATTAACTTCTCTTTTTCTCTGTCTGTCTGTGTGTCTGTCTGCATGTCTCTCTCTCTCTGTATGTGCATGTGTTTCTCCAGTTAATATTACGATATCTGTGCAGATGGGTACAAAGACTCTGCTGCTCTGCCCTCCTGTTCCACCAACAAAAGCAGTAGTAATAACATGGGTAATAACCCTTAGAGGCCAGCCTCCCTGTAAAATATCCTACAGAGTAGAAACCAAGGAGACCAGTGAAACCAACTGTACAGACAGGAGAATCACCTGGGCCTCCACACCTGACCAGAGTCCTGATCTGCAGATCAGTGCAGTGGCCCTCGATCATGATGGGTATTACTCATGTGTTATAGCAACACCTAATGGGAATTTCCAAAAGAGACATAACATCCAAGTTCTACGTAAGCAACGAGTTTACCTACTGTGGTATTTCAACAGGTTTTAGATAGAAATGAATACTTTTGTCATTTGTGACAAGACTGAATCTTTTTTCCCTTCTATCTCCACAGTCCCTCCTGCAGTAACCCTGTTTCCAGGAGAGAATAGAACTGCAGTTTGTGAGGCAACTGCAGGCAAGCCGCCTGCTCAGATCTCCTGGACTCCAGAAGGGTACTGCAAAACAAAGAATGAATCACACAGCAATGGCACCGTGACTGTCAGGAGCACATGCCAGTGGGATCATAAGAAAGTGCATGCTGTGCTCTGCTCTGTCACCCATTCGACTGGCAACAGGATTCTATCCATACAACTGAACCAAGGTGAGTACCTGATTTTTCTCTAAAGAAAACATAATTGATATTTAACTCATTCTTCCATGAAAGATAAATATTTGAAGTCCATCCTGTTTGTGATCAATTGGCCAAAGGCCTCTTAAGGGAATAAAGAGGAAAGTCATGACAACTCAAGCAGAATCTTGATGTAGAAACCATGGATGAATGCTGCTTGCTAGCTACTCTGACCCATACTAAGCTGTCTATATCTCCCTATCGTCTATCTGTCTATCTATCTATCTATCTATCTATCTATCTATCTATCTATCTATCTATCTATCATCTATCTATCTATGTCACCTGTCCGGGATTGATGGCACCCAATTGGTGTTCTTGGGTGGCTTTAAGCTGTGTCAAGTAGACAGTTAAGCTAACTAGGACAACAGACCCACTTCAGACATTAGTAGTAAGTTTTCAGGTATCTGTCTCCTGCAGTTCTTGTAAACTAACTATAAATCCAGGATGTTTCCACAGTCTGTGTATCAGGTTCAGTGATTTGGTAGAATGGTTCACAGATCTGAGGATGCACTTTGCTTACTATTACTGGTTTATTATAAGGATTGCAACATGGGGACAGACAAACAGAAGAGATTCATAGGGCCCTCTATGGAGGAAGGGGCACAGAGCTTCATGCTAGCTCAAGGATGTCTGTTCTTCTAATTCCCCAAAGAAGCTTTTTAAACTGTATTGTTTAAAATTGCTAATAAGATTTTGTTACATGGTCATGATGACTAATCATGGATCACTGGTGATGAACTCAATCTCTAGCCACTCTTCCTTCACAGGAGGTTCAGTGGTGAAGATGGTGGTAGTGTCTGGCTAAAAGTCCCTACTCTCTAATCACAATTTAGCCTTTCTTGTGATGGAATCCACCATGAAGCTCTCTAAGAGCTTCTAGACATCTGTCATTTTACTGGCATATCAAAGATATTTTTATTATGGTGACAATTCTTCTAGGAGCTGTGTTCCAAGAGGTGAACAAAGACCATCTATGTATTTCTTTTTTATTTTTAAATTTAATTTTTTTGTCTGTTTGTTTGTTTGAGATAGGATCTCATTACCTAGCCTTGGCAGACCTGTAACTCACAATGTAGACCAGGCTGGTCTGAAACTCATAGAGATCCACCTCTCTCCCCTCCCAATGCTAGGATTAAAGATATGAGCCATGACACTGATTTTTTATTTCTTATTGTATCTGAAAAAACTACTTCTCTGCCACAAGTATAAGAAGTTCCTCAAGAGTCAGAACTATGTTGTTCAATTCTTCATTTTCCAAGTCTGACTCACCATCTGACATACACATCTGTAATTAGGTTCTGATCCCAGATCTGATCTCCACATTTCACTTTCTGTGTTCCCAACAGGATTCAGGTCCTTTCATTCTCAGATTTTTTTTTCATGTTACTCCTTTTCTCTGAAAAGTTCTCATCATCCCCTCACCTCTTTTATCTAGTTGGCCAGCAAGACATTTTCCTAATCTCATCTCTCCCAGACTCAGAGCTAGTGCTAAGTAACCTTTCTGATTCTTCAGATGTTTAGAGCATGTCATACTCACCTAACACTGTTTGATGTCTTGTAAATCATCTAGAACAATCCGGGCAACAATACAACCTCAACGAGTTATCAAAAAAAAAAAAAAAAAAAAAAGGCACCAAGTTAATGGGGTAACAAAGTGTGGTGTGAATCTGGTAGGGGTTACAAGGAGGAGTTGCAGGTAAACATGATCAAAATACATTGTATGAAATTCTCAAAGAAATTTTTTAAATAAAAAAGAATAATGCCTTTCAAAAGACTAAGATTTGCATGATATGCACTTCAGACAGAGGACTCAAAAGATCTAAACTGAATTTGACCTGAAAACCTCCTTCCTGAGGATTAACTTTCATAGTCACCAAAGGTGTGAAAGCTGCTTCAATAGGGAAGCAACTGGTAGTACCACCTAATTATGAAGATTATGAACCACAACAATGACCAGCAAGGCTGTTCCCTAAGGTTCAATAGTGGCAATAATATCTTGGCAGCAACCAATAGCTGTCCAATTAATTATATTCAAGAGCAATTCAACAGGAGGAAAATCATGCCTGATACTGGAAACCTAGCCAACTACTCAAGGTTAGTGATGTTGTTTACCTTAGAGATGAACCTCCTACAGCCCTTCAAAAACCAGCTTAATACCTATCTAAATTCTTAATCCCTTATGAACACTAATAAGTGTGGCTCTTTACTCTTACCAAAGAAGCTTCTCTTTGTAATAGACATAAACCCTTATAGAACACCACAAATGGTCAAAATGCAGAGAACACTGATCACGTGATGTTCAGCCCCACAGATACATCTACAACACAATTCCTATACCTAATGCTCAGGGAATATTGTAGAAACAGGGGCAGATTTATAAGAGCCATAGGACCAGGAAGTCTGCTATAATATTGTGTCTCCTAGAAATGACTGGGAAGCTTCAATTATGAAACCTCAATTATATAGCTGCCTATACAAGACCTGAACAAGTAAACCAATAATAGATATGCAGACATGAAAAGGGGAATATCATGAGGCCTCAACATTAGACAAAGAACTACAGTTAACTAGGGATACTCAGAGGGGGAGAAATATTCTTCCATCAGGAATGGCCCCCCCTAATTCATTATTCAATACCAACTGATCAGTCTTGAAATTGTACATGCAAGCAACAATGAACGGACTCAGTAGAGTGTATTTACATACTAAATATAAATATGCAACAATAGTAATTTAGAAGGGGCTAGGAATTTGAGAGGGAGCATTGGGAGGTGGAGGATCATGGAGGAGATTGGAGGAATGGATGGAAATGATGCAGTTATATTTTCATAAAAGTAAAATAAAATTTGCATGGGAACTTTTTCCTTATATAGCTGGGAAGTATTAACAATAGTCAATGTGCATTTATTTACTTTAAAAATAATATTTGTTAATGCCTATCAATCACAAAAGCTGGAATTGATTTCTAAACTTGGTCCAGAAATAATGATATATGAGTGTTACTGGAATTATAATTGGTAAGGTTTTCTGATTTTGACAATAAATAAATATTTATTTATTGTGTATACAGTGTTCTGTCTACATGTATGACTGCACACCAGAAGAGAGCACCAGATCTCATTATGGATGATTGTGAGCCACCATGTGGGTGCTGGGAATTGACACAGGACCTCTAAGAGCAGCCAGTGCTCTTAACCACTGAGCCATCTCTCCAACCTGCCTCTAATTTCTTCATTGGAACTATTATTGAACTGACCTGAATTTTTACCCTTGCCTGTATTTAAAGGTGTCATCAGCCCTCTGCATTCCTTGCTGACCATTCTCTATGTGAAACTTTCCCTTTTGGGGATCATTTTGCTCATCATGGGATTTGTTTTCTTCCAGAAGAGAAATTACTACAGGTAGGAACAGAAAACTGAAATGTTAAGATGTGTTAGAAAGAAAACATTGTCATGAGTTTGAGCTCACAGTGGACTGGGGAAGTCTGTTATATGGCCTCATCAAGGTTGTTCCCTCAGCCCTTCTTCAGCATCTGGCTTTTTTAAACAATGGAGCCCACAGGTCTGGCAAGAGCATCTGACCTGTTGCGGTTCTGATGGAGGAGAGACTTAGCCTGGACCTCTCTTTCAGGAATAGTGGTTAAAATGAAGTTACTGGAACTTTACAAGGTTCTTGACTTTTGTAGGTTTCTGTTCATTCTTGCTTAATTATATTTTTTGTTGTTTTTGTTTATTTCTAGAAAATGAAAATCTAGATTTCTGAAGCCTATTAGTCTGATGACACAATACAAGAAAGCAGCCATTTGCAGTCACCTTTCTAGTTGACACCCAGCATACCTGTTCCTGATGTCTCCATGTGTGCTGCAAGTCATGTGACAGCTGGCAGTCATGCAGTATGAATACACAGGCAAAAGCTTGGTGCTTACCATCACATGTACTATTAATGATCATATACTCTCTCCTGTCTCTGTTTCTCAGGCCAAAGAGGAAGATGGCTTAGCAAAAGATGAACAATAGTGCTGGATGGATTTCTTCCACCCAAGTCCTCCAGGAATGGCTTCCATCAATTTCCTCTTTGTTGTTCATTTTAAATGATCATAACTGTTGCACTGTCAGGTGCCGTGAGAAGAAACACCTTCAAGTTAGCCACTAGCTGGCCTTCTTTTCTTGCTTGCTTTTTGATAGTTATCTTTTGTATTAATCATTGAACACATGGCTAGGAGCCATTTTTTTTAGCAGTATCTCTGTGCTTTAGTAGAAATTAAAAGTTGAGCACAGAGAAGGCACTGCCAGTGTCATGGAGGTAACATTGAAATTCCCCTTACTGTTTACAGCCCCAGTGTCCCAATTCTCTTTGCTGTCTGCTCTGATGCATCCATCACAGGGGATGGGATGGATCAGGGAGGGTAAGGGTATGACACTGGTGAGCCCTAATAACTGGAAACCTTTGCTTCACTTGATACAGACAGCAATCCTATAATTATATATATATATATATATATATATATATATATATATATATATAGAATTACTTCTTGGCTACAGTGACAAGTGATTAGCTATTCGTTTTGTTTTTAGTAAAAGTTTAGAGAAAAAAATGAGTATGTTATACTAGAGGATGCTTGGATGGTTACCTCAAGTGGTTCTTTAAAAGTTTGTGTCTTGTCTATTTCACAGTCTAACGTAGTTGATCAGGCCAGACAGAGGATAAAGGGGTTTTTCTTTAAGCTATTGTTTTATTCTACAATTTATTCTCGGTGGGGGCCCACAGAGACTCCACAATGAGGCCCTGTTCCATCTTGACTCAGGGTCAGAGAGTCCCATTTGCTTTGTCCCACAAGGCTGCATAATAGGATGTTTTGACCAAAGCCTTGGTTACCAGGTGTCTTATACTTCAAGACCTAATTACAAGATGCTTCACTGTAAGAAATGGTTACCAGGTATTTTGGAAATTAAGGAAGGGTCTATACT